AACTCTATTATTCTGAATTTTTTTTAACAATAATCAAAGAAATTTGCCTCACCGAACCCTAAGATTTTTATGTGGAAAAACACCAATCATGAAAATTTGTGGGATCTAGTCCAGTTAAAAAATCTCAATTATATCAGTAATAAGTCTATAGATAACAACAACATCAATCAAATGAATCTACTACAAACTAATCTTCGAAAAACTACAACCAGAAAAAAAGCAGTTTGGAAGCGTATCATCAAACAAAAAAGAAATTCAAAATTGGAACCAATAGATAGGTAGACCGTGTTGAGAGGATCACGTAACTAAAATTTCATCCGAATGAGGGTTTGTTTCACCATTTGATCAAGGTTTCCAAATTTCAAGAACTCCATTCTCTCTGGTTTTTTTTTCTCTTCACCTTCACTTTCTCTCACTTTGCTTAAATCACTCACACGACTAATAGTTGAATGATTCTTGTAGCTGTTTCATCAACTATTAATCACCTTCACTTTTCTTCTTTTCTCAAGTCAAATATTGACTGGGACTGCTTAAGTTTGTCTTTGGGCTTGGTTCAGCCTGTTATAATTTACGTCGTCCAGGTCTATGAGAGATTTTACCTCAGTCGGGACTAACTATGACCAAATACTTGGCCAGCCTAGTAGCTGGTCCCAAACCAATAAAAATGCTCCTAATAAGATTGCGGAACCCATTAATTCTGTTCTAAATAAAACCCAAATAAGCTTGTGGGGTTCTTATTTGGCCAATTGGCAATATTACATTGGTCAAAGATCAATTACTGCGCTTGCCAAATAGTTGGTCCACACCATTATAAAATTTCTCTGAAGTAAATGGTTTGATTTGAAAAAAGAAGAAAAGTCAAGTGACTAGACTAGTCACTTGACGAAGTAGCCACAAGAATTATTCAAACATCAACCATGTGACTGATTCAAATGAAGAGAGAAAAAGTGAGTATAAAAAGGAGCTAAAAACAGGAGGGGATTTTTGGAACTTGAAGACCTCGATTGGATGGTGAAACAAAACCTAATCGGAATGAAATTTTAGCCATGTGATCCGCTCAACGAGTTCTACCCATCTATTAGTTCAGATTTTGGATTTTTGGTAACACCTTTCCAAAAGTTAGCGCAAGCAGTGAGGCATTCCCTCACACTTACAAACTAAGACCCACTCCTTCCACAACCAAATTGGATGAACCCAAAACTAGATTGCTGGGCTTGGGGTCCATCGTCATTTGGGTTGAACCAAAAGAAAACTAAAGCCTAAAACTCAAGTTAGTCAATTTTTAACTAGTCTAGAAACAAAACCAATTTCCCTTGAGAAATGTATCTACGGAGAGCACCAGAAATCGATAAAGAGCAAGAAATTCAAACGGGAAAAAAGAGCTAGAGAGAGAAAGGAATACTTGCAACTTTGGGATCAATATCAGATGGCAAAACAAAACACGTTTGAGATGAAGTCACATCCTCTCACCCATCTACTAGGGTTAATTTAAATTTCCACTTTGTTTGACAACATCCTTCCAAACCAAATTCCATTGCAATTGTGGTTTTTGGGAGAGAGTTGCAATAAGTCCACTTTTGTGATGTAGCTGCCACTTGGCTATCCTAGATAGACCTTTGTATTCCCATTATTTTCATAGTGGAGATTCTTTACTAGACCAGGTATTTTTACTTTAAATCTTCGTGTCTTGTGCTTCTTCACTTTTCTTCTTTATTATTAATATTAAAATTGTTACTTGGTCAATTTGACTGATCCCACCTTTTAATTAATACTTGCAGAAAGAGAATTTTGTCCCTTTTTTGTTTATTCTGATACTTGTTGGCTACACTAGTACCTTTTTTTTCAACAAAGTGGTACAAGAGCTAGTTACAACAACTCCACCTGACAATCTGATAGCAAGTTGATGATTGTATCTAACCTAGGGCCCTACGTGTAAAGGGGAGATTGTTGGATTTATCCCACATCGGTCATGGAAAGAATTGTCTCAGTTTATAAATGTGAGGGAAAGTCAGATAAAGAGATAATTGTTTTGGGGCGGGAGTGTCAGATAGCACCCAACAGGTTTACTACAAGGCAAACACCCAGAATAAAGAGATACTTAAAACGTACCTAAGCTTGAGACTTACTGGAGCTACAAACTCATAGGTCTCAATGGCATTAAATTATTGATGCATTCAAGTCTCAAAGTACTCTTCCATTGTTTGAAACAATATTCAACAGACATACTTCTGTGGAGCCTCTAACCACCAGATTTTTTGCAGAGCCTAAATTCAAGAGATCACTTATTTGAGATAGAAAAGTCAACCGAGAAAATCGATAACTCATGAAGATATACAACTTTTTCTGTCAAAAGTTTAGAGTTATTACGGCATTGATCTACATGTTCTCATGCATGTTTTAAGACATGTAAAGCAAATGTTCACACATTTGAAACTAAAACAATCCCTCTTTTGGTGTTCTATAGCTCTATCTCTTAACATACCAAAAATATCTATAAGCTCTCCTCAACTCGTCATCCACAATTGTGGTCTTGGATTTATAAAATCTAAAGTAAAATATTGCTTATACCCAGCATTAAATTCATCAACAAATCATTAGGGAAGAAAACCAACAAAACTAAGATTGTTTCAGTACGTGTACGCACTACGAGTGCATGTTCTCATCTCATCAATTCTACTTCAATTGGAACTATTCTTTCTAAATATAGTCATTGGCAATCAATAGATTTTTTTTTCCCTACACTTGCCTCACCACAGCAGGCATGTTTTCTAGCAATCTCATAGTAGGCTGCATCTTCTTTTTGCTTCATGAGTAAAGTTCAATCCATGGCTAGGAAGGGAGGAGTGAAACTATTCCGAAAATTGCGGAAATTGCTCTGTTTATATGTTCAGAAAAGAAAAGCTTTTTTTTTTCTTTCTTTTCTTTCTTGACGTGAACACTTGCACCAGTTGAAGATTTTCAAGAATATGAAGTCACATACAAATGACAAACTGTATCTAATCACATCGATCACTGCAACAAAATATTTGATCAATCCTGAAGCTAAAACTTTTTACTTATTCACAATTGGGCAGCAAAATCAACAACCTTTTATGGTGGATAACAATCTTAAGCAACAAAAAAGTAGTAAAATATACTTCCGGTACCATAACAGCGAAAACGATTAAAAGTATTCTCTATCAAAGTCAACTGTAACTGCAGCACAAATTTAAAAAGAATTGAGGAAACTAGAAAATGGTGGCAAAATAAATCTAAAAAGATCACATAAAAAGGAAAAAAGAAAAGGGTACCTGTGAAAACCATCTTTTGTGGCTTTCCGAAAGGAGGTTTCTTTGGCAGGTGCACTCATCCAAACAGAGTCCCTGTAAAATCTCACCTCAAAATCTGATTCTGAGTGCACAACCGTGTACTGTGGTGACTCAATTTCCCTGCTTTGAGCTATCAAACATAAATCCACCGCCATTACTGTCAGGATTATGTAAGAAAGGAACAATTTTGGCTTCTCCATCTGTCTCTCTTTCTCTATTCGACGGGCTGAAGACTGAAGGGGGAAGCAGGAGAACACTCCTTTGGGGATATCAATTGAGACATCTTTATTATCGTTAGGGAAAAAAAATAAAATAAAATTGAGACATCTGTCAGTTTATGTGAAAAAATTTTGTTGACTAATTAGTCCTCAATCTATTTTGTCAGTATCAATTTGACCCCTAAAATTTTATTGCTTTAATATAGTCCGTACATTTCTATTGTTGAAAAGATTGGTGCTATTTAAATACCAAACAAATTGCCATGTCTAAATAATTTATGAAACTTGAAAAGGCTTATCGATAAATCCAAAGGAGAATTAATAAATAATATGTGCTGCAATATATAAAAGAGTTACAAGGTACGATTTTAGTCATGAACCGCTAGCTTAGCGTAAGTTTTGAATTAAACAAATACATAAAATTTTGCAAAGATGAGATGTGTGAATAGAAACTACCAATACTTAAGGATCATCTACTTTCTTTTACGAGAAACAATGAATTAAAAAACATACACTGATGAAGTAGAATTATTGGCATATACTTGTCTTTATTTACAATCACAAATCACCCCTCCAATTTTCTGAAATTGCCGAATTGAAGTTGCCTAACTTGACAATACATGAGTTTCCAAACTCCTACAGAATAGTTGATCTGAGGATACAGACATTGAAGAATTCATAACCACGCAGAAATGTGGCTCCAAATCCACAAATGCTACAGTGCTGTTTTTTAAAAACAACCCAAAAAACAGCTAATCCAAACGGAGCCCCATTTTTTGCAGCCTCATAAGGATCCAAAACAGTGCTTTTTCTTATTATTTACATGTTTCCGTTGTAACTCAACCTGGTGCATCTTCGTCCATATTTCACAATATTTGTGACTAGAACAACAATCATATTTGCTTGATATTTAGGCTTCGCCATTAAAGTTGGCCAATCATGTCTAACTAAGCATCCAAGTCAAACTTCATCAAACTTTATGCAACTTTCAGATATCAATACAGCATTTCCCAAACTTGAATCAGAAATAATATGCTTTATATAAAATATTTCAGTTCAACTTGGCATTGTCTAATTATAAATTAGAATGCCTCCCAAGCTAGAATTTGAGGTTGATGAATTGATCTTGTGATCTATTTAGAAACTCTAGATTAGTTCGTTTGATTGGTTCCCCAGGTCACTACATATACGTATCAGCTGTTAATCAACCAAGCTTGAGTAGAGTTCCAGTTGGTTTGATCCGAGCTTCAGGCAAAAAAGCTTAGTTTTCTGACTGCAAAAAAGAGAGAACACGGCAAGAAAATTGCAGACGTAAGTTCCTGAGAACCCACAATCAGCTGGCAAAGATTAGTAATACTTCACAGCTCCTACAACTCTTAATCAGAGGGGAACTCCCACGCAGAAATAGATTGAAATGAGGCTTCGTTTTATCCGAAGATCAGAGATTTCCCATCCATAACAGAAGTACCAGGCCTTAACACTGATCAGATCTTTTAAGTGACAAATTTGCTTGCAATATTGATGTTTGGTTGAGATCTGATTCCACAAAACCGAACTTTTTGAAAAGGAATCTCCAGAAACCTATTCTTTCTTGTCTCAGAGTCCTCTCTATACTTTCAGCTGTGAGAACATTACGAATCATCCCCCACCAGTGAACTTCTTCTACCAGTTTTCTATACAGCATACAAGAATTTGTGGAATCAATTGGCCCGCTGATAAAGAGGAGCTTTTCATTGAAACGTTCCAGGAAAGTTGGTGCCTTTGCATAGACCTCCACTTCCTTGAGCACCAGAAAACATGGCTTGATACTCTTGATCACTGCCATCAAGGCCTCTAAATGATTAGGCCATGCTAACAATGACCAAAGCCGGTATGGCAAGTCAATTGCCACAGCTTCATCAGCCTCTGAATTGAAGAATTCTTCCTTGAGATCCTTGAGGTCTGACACAACTATCTTAAATGAGAAAGGTAAGTTAATGGTTTGAGCAGAAGATGACAAACGTTTGCCCATCTTTTCCATGGTTGCTTCACAGGTTCCAACGTCAGTAATCTTGAGAAGTTCAACAGGGCATTCATGATGGACAGCAAGAGCTTCCATAATCAGTGTCCACTGTGAACCATTATCAATTTCAAAATCCATTAAATGAACCTTCTTAGCTGCTGTCACAGCTTCCAGTATGGATTGACTTGATATGAATTGTGTTTCCAGACAGAATGGGACTTCCTGTTGACATGACATGATCACAGGTTCTAGAAAATTCTTATCCAGCTCCTCAGCCATTGGCAACCATTCTTGACCTTTAAGTTTGTCTGATGAAATTATCCCCAACGCTTGATCAATCTTCTCGTTAAGAGCTTTAGCAAAGTAGTATACAATACAACCTTTTGAACAGAATTACCAGTTTTAGAAGCTAAGACATCGCATATAGTCAGCAATTTTCTGGCACAAACTAACTGTTCATCTTCAACTTTCTCAGCTGCAGCTTGAACTAACAGTGCAAGTTCCAAGTCTTGAGCAACTTTGGAAGATACACCGCATTGGCCTCTAAAGCAACCTTTTCCACTGGAGAGAACATCTGCCTTCTTGGAGTTTAATAGAACCAGCTGTGCTTTCGCTAATTTCATAATCTTATCAGTTAGCAAGGCTTGAGAGCAACAAGAATTATTTGGGGTATCAGGGCTCTCCTCAAGAAGCTTTTGCGGATCCCTCAAACGTTCAACTTTGTACCACATGGCTTCAGAAGTCCTACTGATGTTAGAGAAGGAAATGGGCATTCCATCTCTTCTTCAGAATAACATGAGATTTGCGATGAATAACTGGTTGTTACTACTCAGGAATCCATATCTTCCCAGTCTTGTGGTAAAAAACAAAATTTGGCCTGGGAGAAATTCCTGAAATGATCACAAATTTATAACCTCAAATCTCTCCCCTCCTTTCTTAATAAAAAAGTATAGGAGTACTGTGTTCTCAGCTTAAATTTTAAGAACTGATGGAAACTATGGCTCAAGGTACTGATATCCACTGCTGGACATACAAGTTATACCCAAAAAAGCCATTACATAATGCCGGACAAAGCAATCGCTTAACATGCCACATCTAGCAGTAACCAGAGGATACATATCGTGCCTAGACAAAATCAATTACTTTACTGATAGCAGTTTCTGGTCTGAAAATCCTTGCATGGGATTATATGGGCGACTGGGGAATTGTTTAGTTCCATAGGATCTCCAACTTGGGATTGTTTAATGTTTGCTTTATGGTATCTCGGACAAATTTGTGTGCACCTCAGATTCCAAAATGCCAAAATATATCTCCGACATGAGCTTTTGTTTTCTTCCCCATTTGAGGATATATTAATATTGTACAAAGTGATATGCCTGCAGAAAACTTGAGCATCTTAATACATACTTGGATTCATGTTCATATTCTTTCCTAGTACCTACTTTACAAACACACAAGTCCTGAAAGCAAACTTTACCATATGAACTACATGCCTACACTGAATCTTAGGAATCTCATTATTTTAGCATCTATAATTGGGGATGTGCTCCTAAACTTGAAATGGTTCAAGAGTTTCAGAAACTACAGTATAGGCCTGGAGATGTTGCCGCCTGCAGGAAAAAAAAAAAGGTTCAATAACATCATAGAAATCTTGTTAATCAGTTCTTGAAAAATTGTTAAATAACATGTTGAAATGGGAGAACTGGGATTCTCATTTCATCAGCAGCACAAGTTGAAATGTATGGCAAAAGTCTTGTTAAATTCTTTGGAAGATCGTTGTGAATGATTAAGTCATCCTCTGGTCAAAAGAGTAAGTAACATAACCTATTGCTAAATTGGAAGAATTGCAATTTTAGTCCCCAATATTTGGTCTATATGTCAAACTGGTCCTTAATGTTTAACCTAAAATAAATTTGATCTCCAAAGTTTCTAGTTTTGTTTATAATTTTGGTTATATCTAGGACGATAGAAATTCAATAGTGATTAACAATCAAAATCATTATAAAAAAAAAAAAAAAGCAATCAAAATGAAATGGCCATTAGTTGACAGAATTGACTTTGCACTTGTTGTCCCTAACGTTTCGAATATAGCTCATTATGGTCCTTTAATTTTTGAATAGTGATATTGAGCATTTCAGGATGAAACAAGATACAAACTAGATCAAAATTGAGCTAAAAACATGCAAAAGCAAATTAAAATTCTTTTTGTTCTTTTTTATATTTATTTTATTTATTCATCCCATTATCTTAGACTTACTTTGTTTTACATAGCTGGTCTCATTGGGATAATATGTGCATTTATTGCTTTGCATTATGAATAATTTAATTCATGATGTGTTCTAAAATTTTTCTTTTACTTGTATTGATAATTAAACTCAATTAACTAAGTAACCCATTAAATTATAGGGTATGTATACCATATGTAAATTAGGCTAATCATTATTTCTTGTTCCTAGTTCAATTAGTTATCAATTGAGTTTGAGATGAAGTTGGTAGTTTGTAAAATTATTGAATCATTCAATAAAATTATCAAGATATACAAGTAGTAAAATGAATATTTTAAAACTTCATTATTAGAATGCTAGATTTTAATAAGCGGCAAAGGGAACAAAAAAAAATGAAAGTTTTTCTCTGAAAATTCCTTAAAACGCTTCATATTGGTACTTACATTGGCTAGTTTTTATAATTATAATTACTAGGTACAAGCCTACTACAATTCGAAGCTTACGTCCCTGTGCTAATTTACACTCATCAATTCCATTAATTCTTCCTCTGATCATGTCTCGAATGCAACATACGTAGCTATGTTAATTTTGCGCATAATGAGGCTTTTGTAGAATGACAATGCAAATATGCTTTCTAGTGGCGCAATATAGTTTTTTTTTTAAACTCTCTAATCTTCATTGTCACATAATAATTAATAAAAAAAAGAATTTCTAATTGAAAAAGATAAAATAATTTTACAGGGGCCAATGATTAAATTTCAAAAATGAGAAATTAACCATTTTTTATGCATCTGAATATTTTCCTTAGTTAAAGATAGCAAAGTTTTGTATTTTGGCATTGCAAAAATACAGTGAAGAAATTGTTCTATTCTTGGAATAGAGTGAAGTGGTTAAATCTGGTATGGGGTAAAATACATGTTCCAAAGTTTGCTTTTATACTTTGGTTGGCTAAAAAGAAACGATTGATGACTAAAGATAGACTGTGTGACTGTAGAAATGAGTCTATAGAGCATTTGTTTTTCAACTGTCATTTTTTCACATTGTTTACGGGATAAAGTCCAAAGAATGCGATTAGTCTATTGAGGTAGTATGATTTGGCAATAGGAAATATTATGATGGAGGGAGCACACATACTTGCTCTGGTTCATTTGTTGCTAAGAACAGAAGACTGGTCTTTGATAACAACTGTTTGGCATTTGTTGCAGGAGAGGGATAAATGAATCTTCTAGCAATCCAGTATGTCTAAGCAGCAAATCGTTGCAGCATAGTTTGTGTGATTCAGCGTGTATGTCTCTCATCGCCAAAGGCTCGTAGAACAAAGAAAAATCTGGAAATTTTGCATTAATTAGAACGAAGACTAGACCAAGGATTACACAAATCATTTTGAATTGCACACAACTCACTTGTGAGACCCTTGATCCAAAATTGTTTAGGCCAAAGTACAGCTTTCCAAAATTATTATTAGGTAATACCTAGTGCAAATTGATGTTTTTAACCTCACTAATTTTGGTTCAAGGACCTCACAAGTTGATTTGCGTGCAATTGAAAACAATTCGTTTAATCCTCATTACATTTGGTATAAATATGTGCAGTTTTGGTGTAATCGCCAGTCATACCACTTGAATGCAAATTTGAATTTATTAACTCGCACAACTAAATTGACTATTACACTAAAATTTTACATATTTACATCAAGTATATATAGTGAGAATTATATGAATGCGCTAGTTTGAATTGGACATGTGAGACTCGTGATCGGCTAGTTTTTGTATATAGTGAATACACGCTTAATTAGCTTCAAAGAAACCTTGAATCTTTACTTACCTTGACTGGGAGGTAGGATCAATTACCACGAGATACAAGTAGCATAAGCAAATTGATATCAATTAATCATATGCATCCTAGATAAGAATTCATTTTTCTTCATGCATAATGAAAGTGCTTTAGCATAATTTACATACAATTAGGTCAACAGAATCAGATTCCATTTGTCTTTTAATTCTTGTACTAATCTTTGATTGGTTCTAGACTCATAATTGGTGGAATATGGAACAATTTTTTCTTCTTGAATAAAAGTTTTTCTCCTTGAACATACTATTAATACTGTTCATGTGAAAACAAATAAACCTACAAAATTTTAAAGTCGTAGAAATGGCGGTGGCAATGGGACGGCGCCATCCGAGACACCGTCAACCACTACCAAAATCGATGAGATGACATCCAAGAACTAGTCTTCTAGCATGCAATCCAGTTTCCTTTCTTTCTTTTTAGTTTGTTTTTGTATTATCCATCCTTTTGTTTTCTAAGACAAAAGAAAGCTTTTCAAACTACCACAGTCCTATGAGCTTCCATCTAAAGTTCATCAATCCGATAAATACACAATGCGTATCAAGAACATACTCCAATTTTAGATCCAACCCAACTATTAAAATAAATAGAGGAAGTCAACCACAAATATCATAGACAATACAATCTAGAGTATGAGCATGAACAAGTGTTTTAGCCATTAGATTCAAATTTGCAACAAATCCAATAGATAATTTTTTCTAATGAGTTTTCAAATGGAGAAGATGCATACAGATGAAGGTGAAAATAGAAAAGTTTTAAAAAACCAAATCAATGGTACATGAAAGAGATAGGGAAGAAAGGAGATCGTAGTGGGGGCATTTATGGCAGTAGAAAAAGAGATAGCAATTGAGAATGAAGAGGAAGGAGATTATGGATGAGATCCAACTGTTTTTTTTCTTTATTTACCTTTATCTAATGATTTTTCTGATTTCTGATTTTTATTAAATTTCTCCGCTGCGCAAGAATTGTATTTTTTTTATTTTTTTATTAAAGCATTTGTATGGAGGATAATTTAGCCATTTGACCATCGCTAATGGTAGGATGCTAACAGATAGTTATTGCCAAGGGAGGTATATGTTATTTATCCAAACTACAAGGACTATTAGGTAATTTGGCTAAATCTCAAGGGAGGTAAATGTAACTAACCCTAAAAATTAATAGTCAAATCCACAAGTTTTACGCTCACTTGGACTTGGTTGAGTTCAGTTCGGTCAACAGTGTGACACAGACCAGGCCAAAACGAACACCAAACGTACACGAAACTTTCTGAAAAACAGCTCCTTCACATACACTGCAGTTTATGGAATGAAGGTAGTCCCCGCTTAAATTTAGCATCACCCAATCATACATCAAATGGCATTCCAACTGGGTCTCCGGCCTCCACTGGGTAAACATTTCAAGAATTTCAATTCCTCATTCTTTTCAAGTAAACCCATTGGAATTCGTAAGCTTCTCGGCGTTCGGCACTGTGCTCTGGCCCCAAAAGATGCCCAAAAGGTCTACTCACTTCCCTTGTGGATATAAAATTATATGCATATTTTTTCCATTTTTTTCTTTTTTGGAACTTTTCGGGTGATGGGTCCTTTTCTTTATCTGCTATGAATTACTGAAGGCCAGTCAATGTTTTTTATTATTTTTTGGATGGCGTTTTTTTGGGTACTTCTGGGGACTGGCCGTTTTTTTTTAATTTTAATTTTCCT